GCGCCGTCGGCGCGTGCCTTGGAGTAACCAGAAGGAAAAGGCTGCTTTGAGGGAGCGGGGGAACGGTTCGGCTCTTGCATTTAATGTTGCATGTAATTATGCAATGTTGATGCAGTGTCGATCATTTGGACTGTTTTATGGGGGAATGCTAACCATAAGCTTGTATTTATGCATAGCATTGCAGTGGTGTCGAGAACAAAAGCAGTCCGAGTTGTCTGCTTTGCCAAGGGAGGCACGCATCTGTCCGGCAATGCTATGGAGAAGGAAGATGGTGTTACCCCTCCGGGCTAGCAGTGGGATGGAAATGCACTGGCCAAAGCAAGCCCTAAAGAGCTGTGCTCCAGGGACCCCAAAACACCCAGCAGGAAGAGTGCAGCATCGCTTTGCACCACGGAGGAGATGGCAAACGCCCTGTCGAGCGTCAGGAGATGCCGTCGAAGCGCCGGCCTGGTGCTTGCTCGGGTTTCAGCGCTGCAGGGGCTCCCCCCACCCCAGGCCTGCTTCACCGTTGGCCTCCCGGTTAACTGAGGACAAATCGATGTCAGCGCTTTGGGCTGTGACCTTGCTCTGCTTCATCCTTGCCTTTGCTTCTTGGCTGAGCAGCTGGTGCTGCTTCTGCAGCCATCCAAACTGGTGGGACCCTGCAGAGCCCCGGGAAGCCACTTCTGATTTGCGTCCATGCTATGGAAAGATGACTGGGCACTGGGCTTTGACCCCCTAAATGTTTTCTCTTGAACAGCTGGGGACTTTGGCCTCGGTCCCATCACCTCTCTCTGCTGCGCTGAGCTGTCGGGGCAGCTCGATTCCCTCCAGTGCCTCCACGTAACTGTGTAGGGCCCAAAACCCGACGTGACTGAACAGAACATTTTTTCCTTTTCAGTGACTTCCATTCTGCTTCCTGCACTGATATTTGTCCTCTCGACGGTCTGCGAAATCCTGGGCAAAGCGGCAGACTTTTCAGGGCGCTGAGACGTATACTCTGCAGCCGTAAAAAATGTTCTTGCTCTGGCTTGCTAGAGCATCCTATTTTTTGTAGGTCTGTGTTTGGCAAGGTTGCCTTTTATCTTTATTTTGAGCACAGTAACGAATGCAGTGGCTTCTACGGTGAAGATTAATAGAGAAAAATGGGAAGAGAAAATATGGAATTGTCACGAGCATTTGTATTAAAATAGATTTGCTTTGTAAAGCATTTTGAGCATATTAGCCAATGAGTGATGGTCACCTTCCTTGGGGCAGGAGGATAGATATATATATCTCTCTCTCTATATATATATTTGCTGTTTCATCTGACAGTCCTGCGGGAGGAATCGCTTACATGAACTGTAGTAACTGTCACAACTATTAGCCTTAACTTTAGTGGTTAAAGTCAACACAAATTTGTCTTCTCGGTAGATATATCTCAGGTCACTGATGGGATGTCGCTGTCTGAGTGACACTCGTGGAGGAAGGCAGCATGGCTAAATAAAACCACAAACCTTCCTCGAGTGCAACCTCAATTCCTGATCCCTCTGCTACTTACGCCCCGTCTGCCGGCGCCCAGACCCCAGACACCATGTCTAATGCAGCCAGTGTGTAGCCATGACGACTATAAAGAATCAATTTTTGGATTAAAAACATTAAATATTTAGGCTAACTCTAGGTGCAGGCTTTTGAAGTAAGCTGAAGCTGTTCTGGCAATGAATTTCAAAGGTGTTTTTGCATGCTGACGTCCAGCGGAGCGTGTTTTGTGCAGTGCTTGCAGAGGAGCTCCATGGAGGCAGCACAGTTAAAAGCCAAGGATCAAGAGGAGACAGGACCAGCCCTGCGACCAGCCTTGGGTCAGCTGGCCTGGAAACAAGGCAGCTTCAGGCTGTCTGGGACCTTTTTGCCTCTCTCTGGAGAGTCTTTGGACTTGACATGCTGGTTAGTGCCAGGTCTGGGAGCCTCCAGCCGTGGCTTTTTCCAGCTGAAGCTGTGACATCGATGCTCATTTCCTTCCCCGTAGTGCTGCCCAGCTTCGGAGCTTTCTTCTGACCACCAAAGCTTGAGGCCATGGATGACCCTCAGGAGCCAGCCTTGCCTCTATCCACAGCCATCAAACTTAGATGAGGAATCGCAGCTAACCGTCAAGCCCGGTCAGATGGGAAGGTGCCCATCTGATTACTGTGTGCCCTAGTCATTAATGAACCTCTCTAGACTTTTTCTGCCTTAAGTCTCATTTTCTTATGGGTCGTATAGTCACAAAACCTGAGGTAACACTAGGTTTTGACATGATACGGTTCGATTTGAAGCTGTATCTGGGGTTTTGGCTCACGGCACAGTTCATCACTGCCTTAGGTCCGTGCGAAAGAAGACCTCCAGCGGTTGGTGCAGCCTGGCTGGGGGTGTTTTTGTGCCGCCGAAAGGAAGATGTGCCATGTGGTAGTTGGCACTGGTGACCAAGGGTCACCTAGCTAGGCTCACCCATTGCTCTGTAAGGGTGGCATTTCATGATTTAAAACCATATTATTCTAACCTTTCAGACTAAAAAGGATTATACCGTTCAGGGGAATGAAAGAAATCCTGTATTTAAAAAAAATTTCATTGGTGGAGTCTGCAGCCCCTCTGAGGCTAAGCGGCTTGAGCTAATACGCTCTGTGGGACGTGCCAGCGCAGTCCGCAACTCCCCTTCCCTTGCCCTCCCCAGTCCTCGCCTTGAACCTCGGAGATGCGGGCACGGGGACTGGAGATGTCACCAGGACGCCTGCGCATGGCCGCGCGACCAGGACAGGCTGCGGCCGCCTGGGCAGCTCAGCCCGCTGATCGCCATGCCAATTCTCTAAACGCTTACAAGGTGAGACGTAAAAATATGGCTCTCTGAAACATCCGTGTGCAGATGTCTTTTTTCCCCTCTGAGAAAGGTTTCTCTGGAGGTTGATATTTGTTGATACGGGGCCCATGTTAAGCTTGAAATACTGTTCCAGTGACACTTTACAAGTCTAAATCAGATTCTCCAGTGTGTAAAGTTTAAAGTGCTAAATTTTAATCTTCTTAGTTTAACATGTGACCTTTTACCAGAACAGCCAGGGCTGGTTGTTCTCACTGTGTGCTCCAAGCACTGGCTCATCTCCACATCTTGGTGACTATACGTCCCATAAAGAAATGGGACCTAAGCCAAAAAAAGTCTAGAGAGGTTCATCTCCGCATCTGTGGCCGGATCAGCTCCGGAAGGTTTACCGAAGTTAGCTTTTCAGGGAGGATGATCCTCTTACCTTTTGCTAAGGTGGTTTTGAGATGTCCATGTGTTTCCTTTCCACCCCCCGCAGTTGTGCCAAGGGCTGAAGCAATAGCCGGTGTGGTGAGGCTCGAACCGGGAGACGGGCCTTCGGCGGCTGGGCGGAGAGAGGGCAAAAGTGAAATATGATTTTTTTCCAAGCAGGGCTTATGAGGCTGACAACCTCATACTAAATTGTTCATCTCAAATTTCAGTAGCCTTTGGTCTAAAAGTAGTCTTATGAGTAGTGGTTGTGTTTCCTGCCCTCGGATGCTGTCGGGAGGGCGGGGAGGAGGCGCCGCGGGCGTCTGTGCCAGCGACCTGCAGAGCTGTGCTTTTGGGTAGCGTACTTCTCTGCGTAATTAGCGAGTCGTGTTTATTTGTGATCGATAATACTGACATTGATTATGTGTCTAGTGACTATCTCAGCGCTCAGTGTCGTATCTCAGACCGAGACTTGCGGAAGCCGGTTATTTGGAGACTTGTGGCCCGTGGAGTCCACCCTGCCTTGGGCTCCCTGCGGCTCCCCGCG